CCTTGGCCAGCCGAAGCATGGCGGAGCAGCCGGCCCCCGAGCAGGAGGGCTCCCCTCCTCCGCCGGCGAAAAAGCGGCGGGGTCCACCGGGCCCCGGGACGAAGACGCGGAAGGCCACGGCGCCCGAGGAAGGCGAGAAGCGCTACGTGCCGCCCCCGAAGAAGCGGAACCCCGGCATCGGCTTCCGCGAGGCTCACTTCGCCGAGACCAGCTACTACTTCGAGGGCGGCCTCCGTAAAGTGCGGCCCTACTTCTTCGACTTCCCGACCTACTGCAAAGGCCGCTGGGTGGGCAGGCGCCTCTCGGACGTTTTCAGCACCGAGTTCTCCGCCCGTCCCCTCGAGTACTACCGGGGCTTGGCGAAAGCCGGCCGCTTGCTTCTCAACGGGCACCCCTTGCGGGACCTCAGTGTCGTGCTGAAGGTAAGAGCGAGGAGAGCCAAACCCGAGTGGGGAAAAGAGCCTTTTGGGGGTTTCATCCCCCAGGCAGGCAGGCAGGCAGCCGCCTGCCATTGAAGCTTTTCGGGGCGGGCGGGAGAATCTGATGTTTTCCCCCTTGCTAACCTGGAGGTCCTGGATCCTCTGCCTCGCTGGCAGCTGCTGTCACTGATGCAATGTGGTGTAAGTTACTGAACTGGAAATTTTGGGGTATCTACAGTCGCGCCCACACGTTTCACGGATTCGATGACTTGTGGCCACCACCACACACGGTCAAAATGATCTCCAACAGGCAGTTGTGTATTTATTTATTTTATTTAAACTATTTTTACCTCGCCTTTTCCTTGAAAAAGGACCCAAGGCAGCTTACAACATTGAAAAACAGTATTTGAAGTTGAAAACAACGAGCAGGCAACGATGGTTAACATTATTAAAAGATAATATTTAAAGCTAAGAACACTGAATAAAGAGGCGTCTTGCATCATTAAAAGGCAGTATTAAAACTAAAACCAGCAAATCTTTTTTTTTTTCCAATGCCACACTGGGAAATGAAAAATACAAAAATTGAAAACTCAGCACTGAGGGATGAAGGGCTGAGAAGTGCTACAGCTGCTCCTTTGAACTCATTGGATAAAATGTGAGATATAAAAGTCATAAGTTAATGAAATAATAAACATCTTATGGTTGTTGTGGGTGTTTTGGGCTCTTTGGCCGTGTTCTGAGGGTTGTTCTTCCTAACATTTCGCCAGTCTCCGTGGCCGGCATCTTCAGAGGACAGTACAGAGACTGGCAAACTTTAGGAAGAACAACCTTCAGAACACGGCCAAAGAGCCCGAAAAACCCACAACAACCATTAGATCCCAGCCGTGAAAGCCTTCGCAAATACAATAAAAATCTTACTATTATCAGACTGGGGGAATTTATTGAATACTTTGTGATGTTCCTCTTCACTGTTAAACATGAAGTACTAAAGTATCCACACTTTCAACATGCTCACCAGATTTCAATGTGACCCCACCTGTGAGATCCTCCGTGTGGGAGCTTCGCTCTTGTTGGGGGGGATAAACATTGTACACACTTTTATGGATTCTTTGCACACATGTGCTGAAAGAGGCTAAACACCGTGAAAGTGTATGCCAGATAAACCTCATTACTCTTTAAGATGTCAAGGTTTTCTGTAAATTGTGTTGCAGTAGGCTGGTATGGCTACATCACAGAAATCCATATGATTTTAGTCATACTGTATTTCATTTTTTCAAAAGTAGGATAACTGTCTTTTCTAATACCATGGGAACTAGTGGGATGGACAGCTGACTGAAGACAGTTTTACACATTACCTGAATAGAGGTTAGCAGGAAGTTCCTTATAATCTGGTGTTGATTGGAGCTTGGACAAGTTGAGTTTTTGTACAGTGGTGCCCCGCATAGCGACGTTAATCAGTTCCAGGATTAACGTCGCTATCCGGATTCGTCGCTATGCGGGGGGGGGGAACCCATAGGAACGCATTAAACTCTGTTTAATGCGTTCCTATTGGGGAAAAACTTACTGGTAAGCGAAGATTCCCCCATCCAGCCGCCATTTTCGCTGCCCGGTAAGCGAGGGCAGGGCACGAAAACCCTGCGGGCGGCCATTTTCTGCACCCGGTGGCCATTTTGGAACCGCCAATCAGCTGTTTTCTAAACATCGCAATGCGATGTTTAGCCTATCTAAACATCGCAATGCGATCGCATTAGCGATTGCAAAAAATGTGTCACTATGCAGATTCGTCGTTAAACGGTACGCTCGTTAAGCGAGGCACGACTGTATTCTTAACTCTTAGAATCTCACAGTCAGCTTGGCCCAAGGGGAGATGTTCCTACTAAATAGATCAGCAAGAACTCAGTGGCATAGAATACTGACAGACTGAAAGTGGGAAAAACTGACAGCTGGGTAGGAAAGAGATTATATCCGAGTGTCAGACAAGAGAAAGGAAGACACAGATTAAAAGTTTAGACGGAACAGTGTCATCACTGAGGTAGATCATTTCCTAGTTTCCCATGGGCAAGCTATTTTAAAACATTCAGCAATTGGAGTAAGGTACTGTGAATTCATAGACATCAATGAAGAAATATTTTTGCCCAAGAATACTGGAAAAGGGTTGAAATGCTTTTGTATGAGGTTTTAGAGATTTTGATAACTGTAACCTCTGAATTATTTGTTCTAAATATAATCCTGGATTCAATAGGCCTAATGGGAAAATATTTAGTTATCCATATCTTGACAGGTTTAAGAATTCTTTTTGCTAAATACTGGAAAAACCCAGAGAATCCATCTCAAGATGAGTTAATAGCAAAAATCCTGGATATGGCGGAGATGGATAAACTATCAGAATGGCTAGACTCAACAACAACAACAAAAATGTATCATGAAGATTGTTGGCATAAATTTTATGATTGGCTTAGAAATAGAATGTCAATTAATATTTGATAATTGAAAGCTTAAGATCAATTTAGGATTAGAATATTATTGTAAATTAGTTACACCGGAAACTTATGTATCTTTGAAATTTAATAGATAAGAATTAATATTGTAAAATGTTCATGTTGATTTACAGTCCATTCAATCCTATGTCCCCTATCCCCATCCCTAACCCCTAAAATAAAACTTTTTTTAAAAAATTCAATTAACTGGTAGTGAGCACAAATATCTACTCCACCTCCTGGGGGAGGGATGATAAGGAAACCCAAAACAGAGGGGGAAATGTGTGAGTGGCTGAACCCTGAAAGAAAAGCATTTTACGGTATACCATTGTGTGAAAGCATCTACTGTAATCTGTGTCATACAAATGCCTGCAAAATTCACTGTTTCAAGGGATAGTCAAATAGTTGTTTTTACTTCTAAAACTTTAAGGAGATTTTAATACTGCAATTTTTTGTAAGTCTCAGTTATGTTTTAGAACTAAAGAACCTTGATGTAATTTCATAGACAATTGCAAATTGTGATTCATTTCACTCCCTTTCAGGTCTGTAAAGATCATGGCAAATAGACTAGTCTAGAAAATCCCATACAGTACTTTTCCTAATACAGTCCTTTCTTTGCTTGCAGAATAATGACTTTTTGCAAAACACAATACATCGTCATGAACCTCCAGTTACAGCACAGGCCATTGAGTTTCTAGAAGAAAACGATGAAGTTGTGGTGATAAACAAACCATCATCTTTACCAGTCCACCCATGTGGCAGATTTCGGCACAACAGTATTGTCTTCATCTTGGGTAAAGAGCACAACCTGAAGGAGCTGCACACGATTCATCGGCTGGATCGCTTGACATCAGGTGTTCTCATATTTGCTAAGTCCATAGAGGTCTCTAAGAGGATTAATGAGCAAGTCCAACAACGACAGGTAAAGATTAAAGAATTTTTTTTGTTGTATGCATTTATTGTTCATTCTTTCTTCATGTCAGGAATGCAGAAGCTGTGACTCATACATTGCATCAACCTGGGGAGCATCCCCATTTGTTTTTGCTTCCAGCCAGCCATTAGATATAAGAGGGTGTTTAAATACATTTAAATAATTTATGTAGAACTGAATCATGCTTTGAAGGCAGCAAAGCTGTTGTGTGGAAATGAGCTGTACTTTGTATGCTGGAAAGCTGTTGCATAGAACAAAGCTAACGAAGGGGTTCAGGATGACTTCCTTTTACTCTCAGAACAACCTAGTAAGGTAGACAGGAAAAAAAGAGAGTTATTGTTTACCCCAGGCGTTTTATATGGCTCAAACAAGTCTTCCCAGTCAAAGTTCAACACTCCAACAAGACTTAAGTTCTTCCTTTTAATTCCTTTTAAATATTTTCCTCCTATCAAAGTACTAAAGCCGGTATCCTATTAGTATTCTTGTAAGGTTTGCTTAACTTGCCAGAGCTAATTACAACTAATTTATGAGATGCAGAGGGACATTTTGGCCACATGCTTAGCTACACATCCAACTGCACAACCTTGTCAGTTAGTTACTGATAAGCTACACAAACCTTTCACAAGCACCAGTAGGATTTCAGTCAAAGTAGAACAGATGGTTACCACAAGCATTATACTTGTTGTGGCATTCAGAATATTTCTAGGATGGTGTTGGTTCAGAATTGACAGATTCCATACAGTGTCTTTTGCGAGTATATTGTGTTCAGTCCATGAGAAAGTAGAATGAGAAAGATACACACACAGTCAGTCAATGACAGGAATCTTTTGCTCATCATATGATTGGTACAACAACTCCCATAGCCCTTCAACCATTGGTCATGTGGGGGTAAGGCTGATGAGCATTGTATGCCAAAATATCTGGTAGGCCGGAGACCTGTACCCCTGCCATACATAGTGGCAGATCCCAATTAGAGAGAGTGCAAATGATTAGTAACAGTGGCTAGTATATTATTGTTTACACATAATTACTTTTCCTGTATTGATTAATGTTCACTTTTGATTTTACTTCTTTGCTTTTCCACATTTCCATTCCTAATAGCTGGAGAAGGAGTATGTATGTCGTGTGGTTGGAGAGTTTCCACAAGACGAGGTCATCTGCGAAGAGCCCATCCTGGTTGTCTCTTACAAAGTGGGAGTGTGTCGAGTGGACCCCAAGGGTAAAGTTTGTAAAACTGTCTTTCAGAGGCTCAGTTACAATGGCAAGACCAGTGTTGTGAAGTGTTTTCCATACACAGGCCGTACCCATCAGATCCGTGTCCACCTACAATTTTTGGGATACCCTATTGTCAATGATCCTGTTTACAACACAGATGCCTGGGGGCCCAACAAGGGCAAAGCTGGCAATATTGGCAAAACTGACACGGAGCTGCTTCAAGCGTTGGTGAAGGAACACCTTTCCAGAGAAAGTCTGAGTATCTTGGATGTTGTTGAGGAAGACTTGAAGCCCATTTTGGGAGATAAACTTCAGGACACTCTGGGGAATTGTGCTACTTCCGTTGAGGTCACCCCAGGAAGTGTTAACTCTGACCATAATGAAGAATCAAAAAATGAGGACAGGAGTGCAGTCTTGGTGTGTTCTCAAAGTTCTCTTCTTAAGACACAGACTCACGAGACAGAGAGTGGAGAAATGTATTCAACTGAGCACCAGGATGCAATAGATCCTCTGTGTGATGAATGTAAAATTGTAAGGCCTGACCCATCACCCAAAGATCTAGTCATGTATCTCCATGCTTTGCGCTACAAAGGATTAGAGTTTGACTACTGCTCTAAGATGCCCGCCTGGGCCCAGGAGGACTGGACAGAGACCGGAGATTCTGAAAATGTGTGAGAATGAGAGAATGAGAGTGTTTATGGGAGACTTAAAAACTTTTCTATAGCTGTTTATATTATACATTGTAACTGACTGGAAAAAAATAGTTCCTTAATAAGTGGGAAGAAGTCCTGGAAAATAATAAATTGTTTTGTTATCTATGGGAGCTTTTCGAGGGTATTTATCTTGATGGTTTCTCTTTTTCTAATCCAAAGAAAGTAGATCCAAGGTACACCACATGAAATTACCTCTTCTACATAACTATGAAACTTCCTCATTGTAAAAGCAAGCAGGTTTAAAGTCCAAAATGTAAATGCAAATATCTTTGGATTACAAGAAGATAGGAATGTTTTCAACAGTCTCTTGTAGTTGCCCTCTGGAGATATACCTTCAAATCTTCCCAGTACAGCAGGAAATATGACTGCCACCCATTAATACTGGGCTTCTGTCATTTTGCTTTTCTATCTTAGTGTTGAGCTGGGAATGGTGATGAAAACATGTGTAAAGATTCAAGACTATCTTAAGTGGTGACAAAGGTGGTAGTCACTTTTTCTAAATACAGTACTGTGGTCTTAGATCCCTAAAAGGTTAAGATCTCAATGAAAATACCCAAGGATCTTGTGGCCCTTTATATTTTGGGTTGAAAGCAACAGAATAAAATTCAACAGGGATAAGTACAAAGTACTGCATCTCAGAAAAAGAAACCAGTTGCACAGTTACAAGATGGGGGATACCTGGCTCAGCAAAACTACAAGTGAGAAGGCTAATGCTGTTTTCGGCTTCATTAATAGAAGTATAGCGGTAGTTTCCAAATCCCGAGAGGTGCTAGTCCCCCTCTATTCAGCATTGGTTAGGCCTCACCTTGAGTACTGTGTCCAGTTCTGGACACCACAATTCAAGAAGGATGCTAATTGGAACAAGTTCAGAGGGGGGCAACAAGGATGATCAGGGGGCTGGAAACCAAGCCTTATAAGGAAAGGCTGAAACCTTGAGAAAAGAAGACTGAGGAGAGATATGATAGCACTTTTCAAATATTTGTTAGACTGTCGTACAGAGAAGGGGCAAGATCTATTTTTGATCATCCCACAGTGCAGGGCTCAAGTTAAAGGAAGCCAGATTTCAGTTGAATATCAGGAAAAACTTCCTGTTAGAGCAGTACAACATAATCACCTGGCAGATAAGCTTTGATTGTATTCCTGCACTGAGCAGGAGGTTGGACTTGATGGCCTTGTAGGCCCCTTCCAACTTCACTTTTCTATGATTCTATGAAAAACAAGCAGGTTTGTTGGGTATAAATTTTTGTGAAGTGTAGTTACAGTCTATGAAAGCTTATATCAGATAAAACATGTTGATCTTTATGGAGCAACAATCTTTATGGAGGCCCGATTATCTGATTGTCAGTTTCTTTAGTTTCTTTTTGCAACAGACTTGTAGGCCCCTTCCAACTTCACTTTTCTATGATTCTATGAAAAACAAGCAGGTTTGTTGGGTATAAATTTTTGTGAAGTGTAGTTACAGTCTATGAAAGCTTATATCAGATAAAACATGTTGATCTTTATGGAGCAACAATCTTTATGGAGGCCCGATTATCTGATTGTCAGTTTCTTTAGTTTCTTTTTGCAACAGACTAACATAGCAACCCCAATGGAAGGATGTATATCCTTAGAGCAGTGGTCCCCAACCTTTTTGCCCCCACAGAACGGTCTAACATAGCAACCCCAATGGAAGGATGTACAGTATATCCTTAGAGCAGTGGTCCCCAACCTTTTTGCCCCCACAGAACGGTTTAGTGCACGGGGGGGGGGTTCCATGTGGGTGAGGGAGGGGCCGTGCATGCATCTGCATGGGCAGGGGGCAAGAGATTTGTCTCCACTGACCAGTCCTGGTAAGGCCACGAACTGGGACCTTACCAGGGTTGGGGACTCCTGCTTTAGAGTTCATTTGTATTCACTGTAGACCCTCTTATACAGAGCTTGAAAAAGTTATGTTTTGGACTAAAGCTTGGACTGCAGCTTGGAAACACCAGTGTTAAGTCTTAGAGAGCTGGGCCACTGTAGGATATATGCTGAAATAAGGCAAATTTTACTTAGCAGAAGTAATTTTCAAAATAAATTCATTCAGATCTGTGAGGTATGGCACTGTTGTTACAGAGTGCACAGTATATGATCAGGAGGCTGATGTAAGTTTCTCAGTCTTGCATGAGTACACATTTCTCTTTTTCCTATCCGATTTATTTTGGCTGGTGGTTCTGTTCCTTAATGGCTCTACCAAACCATGATGAGATAAATTAACTGCAAGCAGGCCCATTAAATAGTTTTAATGATAGTTAATGCGTGTAGCAGAATTGTCTTCTGGGAGTCCTTCACTGCCTGCTTTCACCGCTGTAAAAGTCTGTTATAAGACTGCCATTCTGCCCTCTTTGAAATAATCATTTTGTGGTTATAAAACCAGGCAGGACAGAGCCATATTCATGTTAAAACAATTATTTGTAATTAGTTGAGCAAGGTCAGTATCTTGGAAATCCCCGAAGTTTAAACAGCTGCATATATGTGCCTTGTTTGGATTTTCTTCCCTGAGGAAATCACAGTACAAGGGCATTAACCATTGCAAAGTGGTGGTGGGAATGTCTCAGTGACAAAATATTGCTGTTTGAGTGCCTTGAACATCTGGAATGCCAGCAGTGGGAGTGCAAATTGTGTCAAAAGCTGGATTCTTCAGGAGAGCCATGTGTTTATAGTGCAAAATAACTGGAAAAGGCAATTTGCATATTAGCTGAAGAGGGATCAAAAGGTGGAGCATCTGTTTCATCAGAAAAAAGACACAGAAATCCGATATGATATACTTTATTTTGGAAGTCGTACTTTTCAGTACTTTTATAAATGAATGGCAGTTCAGTTAACCAAGGTTATCAAAGGCTTAAATTTAGGACAATATTATTTAACAAGCACTGACAGTTATCTGAAGGGTGTTGTCAGGTATGTATAACTCAGAAAAAGAACAGCAGGAATTCAGTCTTATTTATTCAAAATATTTTTACCCTGCTTTTCTCCTTGAAAAGGACCAAAGGTGGCTTACAACAATAAAAGACAATATTTAAAGTTGAAAACAATGAGTATACAACAATGGTTAATATCATTAAAAGACAATATTTAAAGCTAAGAGCAATGAATAAAGCGGCATTTATCATCAACAGGCAATATTAAGGCAAAAATCAGTTAAAAGACAATACAGTATTTAAAGCTAAGAGCAATGAATAAAGCAGCATTTATCATCAACGGGCAATATTAAGGCAAAGATCAGCAAGTATACAAAATGTTTTTAAAAGATGCCACTTTGAGAAGTGGAAAACACAAGTAGCACTATAAATCCAGTCAAAGCAGCAATGCACAGCAATTTATCTAAAAATCACACACAGCTAGTTATTGAGGGGAGGCTTGACTGAAGAGAAAGGTCTTTGCCTGCTTGCGGAACAACAGTAAAGATGGGGCCAATCTGACCTCCTGTGGGAGGGAGTTCCAAAGTCTGGAAGCAGCAACAGAGAAGGCTCTTGTCAGACGCACCAGTGAAGGTGGCAGGTCCAGGAGAAAGACCTCTCCTGATGATTTTGTAAGTAGTGTATAAATAAATACAAATAGTGAAGATTAATGTGAACACATACTTTTTTGTTCTGGTCCTTAGGTTACGCTATAGAGCATTCAGTGAAAATAGCCTGGCATGTTGTGGCCAAAACCAAAGCAACTGCTTTTATTGAAAATACTATGAAAAAAGCTTTTCAACAGCCCATATAATTAACATTATACTGTACAGTATATGCTCATAATTACCAGGTATTGTCTATATTTTGCGTCACTATAGATTGAAAAAGTAAAAAAAAAACAACTGAATGTACTAGTAACTTGTAGTGTACATATATTCAATCCACACTGTATGAACACATTTGTCTGCAAATCTGAAGCATTTTTCTGCAAGCTGGTGTCCTCCAGATGGCTTGAATTACAATTCCTGTCATCCTTAGTGACTTGGGCAACGACAGTCACTCCTATTTCTATGTAAGTTGGAGGAGTTTCCCAGCCAAGTTGTGTCACTCATACCATCATCCTCCATGCCTCCCTCTCTTGTGCTTTTCCCTTCTATCCTCACTCCTTTCCCCCTTCTCTCCTATTTTTCTCACTTTCCAGCATATAAAGCATATGCTGATCATCTTTAGTGTGCTTCAGTAGTTAGTGGATATTTGCAATATGATCTCAAGTCTCTCTTCCTTTTTGAATTCCAGCTTGAACTTCAAGCATTTCTCACCCCTTTGACGCCCATTTTAACATGGTGAAAAAGTCTAACACTGTCAGAGAAGCAGAGATCATGCTGTATTCGCGAAGGCCTTCACGGCCGGGATCTAATGGTTGTTGTGGGTTTTTCGGGCTCTTTGGCTGTGTTCTGAAGGTTGTTCTTCCTAAGTCTCTGTGGCTGGCATCTTCAGAGAACCGCACTCTGTGCTCTGGTTCTCTGAAGTGCTTGCCGTCATCTGAAGATGCCAGCCACAGAGACTGGCGAAACGTTAGGAAGAACAACCTTCAGAACACGGCCAAAGAGCCTGAAAAACCCACAACAACCAAGAGATCATGCTGTCAGGAGGCTAGATTCCATTACAAGCTTGGACTCCTAAACAGGGTCATCGAGGGCAGAAGGGACAGACTAATAAGCATCCACTCTCTTCAAGGCACTGGCAAAGGAAGCTATAGCGATGACACACAAACTAACTTTTGTTAGTATTGTGCAAGAGGTGGCAATGGTAAAGCCCTGCTGGACTTTCCTTAAGTTTTACTATTAAAAAATCATAACTTGAACAACCTTTGTCCAAACGTCCACAAATTTGGCATAGACCAAGAGCAGACTGCCTGCTACAACTGTGCTAAATTTGGTGCTGGTCTGAAGTTCAATTTCCAATTGACAATTTTTTGTTTGTTTGGGCCGTTCCCATTTTTAGTACTGCCTTCGTAGAATCTTGATTTGCTCTGCTGGAAGCTGGAATGCAGTTGGGCTCCTTTCTGAATGTACAGATCGTGCTCTTCCTTTCTTTCCCTCACTGCAACAGAGAGAGAGGGAGGGGAGGGAGGGGAGAGAGAGAGAGAGAGAGAGAAAAGAGGGGGGAACAGATGTGATTTGTGTGCACGTGTTTTGTGCCGTTGTTTGTATCGCTGCGCGAGAAACGAGCTTACAAAAAAAAAATGAAATATAAAAGTAGTATAACGGGGGGGAACAGATGTGATTTGTGTGCACGCGTTTGTATCGCTGCGCGAGAAATGAGCTTACAAAAAAAAGAAATGCAATATAAAAGTAGTATAACACTGTACTGTAGATACAACAAAGAAAATACAAAATTTCCGTTTCAGGAACTGGACTGTACTTCAAAAAACGTACGCTGTAATAAATCCGTAACTCGTAAAGACATATTCACAAACATTTAAAAAGCTTATGTAGTTGATGTCCACCAGGAAGACCGCTCCTTGCATTGTTTCTTACATTATTTAAACCGCCTGAAAGCTGTAAAAGAAATAGATGAGTTTTAAACTCGGGGGTTTGTACATTGGGAGGATGCGGGCAAAACAATTCTGTCCTTAGAAAAGCAATCTTGCCCACCTGAACTCGTTTGGGATGGTAAATAACTCACAACTTTCCCTAGTTCTTATAGTTTTTAGAAAACAGGCTCTTTGGGTTTCGGTTAATTAATTATCCCAACATCAGACGGCAATAGGATGATGCAGGTACACCTTAAATTACTTGCCCGCTTAATATAAAATATTAAAAATAGCAAGGGTCTTGACGAAATTCCAGAGCCTCATTTTAATTGTTGTAAAGAGAAAAATACAACGACGAGGATGGGATTCGAACCCACGCGTGCAGAGCACAATGGATTAGCAGTCCATCGCCTTAACCACTCGGCCACCTCGTCACACTGCTCTGTGTTTTCTCCAAGCCTATAAGGAACTGTTCAGCACAGCATTCTTTTATTCCTTACCCGTTTACTTGAATGTTTAGGTAGCCTCTCGGTTACAGAGCATTTGGTCTGACAGTGATAGCCCGCATTTTTCTCGAGACTTCTCGGTTTGCTTCTCGAGCCTTTGCTACTCTTCTCCTTGAGGCCGCTTCACAACAGGCGTTGAGGCTCACCCCTGGCGGCAACCATCTTGTACGGAAAGAGGAAGCCGCCATGATGAGCCGTACAGATGCCCGCCTTCATTCGGCGAACGAGGCGCATGCGCACGACCTGGCGGTTAATTTGAATTCGGCGGCGTCCTGACGGCATTCGAAACATTCGGTGTCGAGCAGGGAGATTGAGTCAGGTTTTTTTTTTAACCTCCGCTGTGGAAACATTGCCTTCGAGTCTTAGAGGGAGAGCGGGAAGGGACGCGGTTCCAAGAGTGGTGAGATTTTATCGCCTCTGCGAAGGGCCTTCCCCGGCCAACTGAGGGGAAATGCGGCGTGGGGTCTCAGCCCAGTAGGGGCGGAGGAAGCCGTTGCGTTGCGGCGGGACGGATGCTGAGGCTGGCCTTCGGCGGGCTCGGCCGGACGAGGCCTTGTCGCGACATCCCCGGAGGGGGGCCTTTTCCCTCGCGAGGCTGCCTCCCAGGCCTGCGGTTGCGACGTGACTCTTCCCGCTCCTCGAGTCGTCACTGCGGTCACCGGAGCGAGCGAGCGAGGTCCCCTTCCAACCTCCCTTGTTGGCCACTCCTTTCCGCCGCCTGGGCGCTTGGCTTTCTCCAGCCTCCGCCGGCCTTTGCCAAGCCAGTTGTGTGCAGGCTTCCTTGGGAGCAAGTTTTCCCTGTGCTCTGTGAGGCGGGTGCCGCGGCGTAGGCGAGCGCTGAGGATGGCGGCCTACGGCTCAAATCCTGAGGGCTTTTTGCCCCTTCACAGGAACTCGCCCCTTGGCCACTTTCTAGCTCGAGCCCTTGCCTGCGCTTTGGTGAGGTCCCGTGGGATCCCGTGGGCTTCGTGTCCTAGTGAAGTTCACCTGACCTCACACCTGAACGACAGTCGTTGGCCTGTCAGGTTTAATTTCCCCGATTTAGGGATCGTTTATGGTGTTTGAATTACGGTCTTCCTTTTTTCCAGAAAAATGCTCTGCTTGTTGTAAGCCCCCTAGAGTGGTCTTAATTGACTAGATAGGCGGGATATAAATATAAATAAATAAATAATAACCAGTGCAGGCGTTACATAACGCTTAGTTATTCATGTTTTTTTCCACTTTGAAGAATATCGAAGGCCGCTTTTTGCCCTGGCACTGTTTCGGGAGACAAATATCTTTGTTGTTTCAGGCAACTGGCGTTAAACAAAATGGACAGAACTCATTCTGAAACGAATGAAGAAAAGTAAGTTGTGCGTCTAATGTGGAGTAATGAATTCTGTGTTGATTTTTTTTTACATTTTTCATTATGTCGCTTCATATTATTATTATTATCTACTACATTTTAACATGAGCTTTCCTGAGCAAGTCGATTTCCTCAGACCTAAGAATGGGCTGATTTATCCACAAAAGCTTCCATTAAAATGCAGCAGTCTTTAAGGTGCCACAACGTTTTGTCCTCATTTTTTATTCCTTTTTCTTGCCTGATAGGCTAGCATAGACTAACATGACTACCTCGTCTACAAAATGTGAAGGCAGTTGTAAGCAAATTGTATGCTCTCTGTCCCCCCTTTTTTATTTTTATTTCTATTATTTATTTTTTACTTTTTATTTATTTTCAATGGGGATAGGATTGGGGCTGGGGGAATAGATATGGATAGGCTTTTGTCTTTTTCTGTAGATGGGTGATTAGTGTGTCTTGGAGAAGAGATTATCTCACAGCCATATCTCAAGCCTATCTCATAGCCATAAATACTGCACTCCCAAGCCAACTACACCAGAGCACAGAGTGCTGTCCTCTGAAGATGCCGGCCACAGAGACTGGCAAAACGTTAGGAAGAACAACCTTCAGAACATGGCCAAAGAGCCTGAAAAACCCACAACAACCATTAGATCCCGGACGTGAAAGCCTTCGCGAATACAATTCCAGTTTAAATGCTACAGCACAGAATACACTTTTTTCAACATTTCATGTACTAATTTCCAGTAATTTTTTACTTCCCTACATGTTCACCAAACATGATAGAAAGTACCCTACTATATTTTTCATTTTTCACAATTAGAAACATTTTTGTACTGTGAATATGGGCTGGTTCTGCCATGGGCGGTTCCGTTGACAGCGCGGGAAAAAGGACAGGAGGCTGTTCTTTTCTAACAGAATCCGTTTTATTAGTAAGCAAACTCAACTCGGCTGGCTCAAAAGGGTCCATTAAACTTAATTCTGGCTACAACTTATAACTCCAAATTCGCATGTTCATTTCTTTGTCTTTTCTCCTTACTGGGGGGCTGGCCCAAATCGCTCCCAGTCGGTCATAGGCCGAATCGGTGTGATTCTGACCACGCAGACCGTCCCACAACAGGGGTGTCTCGCCCAGTCCCCCTCCCGCTGACTGGAGTAAAGAGGGACTGGGACGGATCACCCTCCTCCCCCCACGCTGATTGCGGGAGTAAACCACCACAGTCCATTCCAAGGGGTCTACCTCTTGCCCGCGCATGAAGAAATCAGGAGGTCCCGGCAGTAATCCTCCATCTACTTGCAAGTTGGGGAATTCTTTAAGCAGCTTGAGGAAACTGCTGGCCCATGCTCCATTCTGTCTGTACTGATCTATCCTTATCAGCCGGCTCGCTCTTCACCACTCTAAAACTTCCCGCCTTTTTGTCTTCAGTTATATCTTCCCATATAATCAAATCAAGCTCCTCCCCTTATCAGCCAAACACACTTCTCTAGGCTTCTGTATCTCCCTATCATTCGTCTCTACCTCCACCAATATGCCCTCCACACACTCTGCTCCTCCTTCTGCTCCTCTGACAGTGGAGGATGGCTCACTCTCTTTCTCTCCTTCACACGTACATTTTAGAAAGTTTTGCTGGAGTCATATGGCATCTATAAAATATATTTTTTTCCTTTGAAATTTACTGGTTTTGTAAGTCTAATCTTTCTCTGCCAAATTTATGTCCAATGTTCTAAATCAATATTATGACCAATATTTTGTGCCCATTTTACCATACAGTCTTTTACAATCTTCGATTTTCATATCTGAGATACAGTGGTGCCCCGCATAGCGACGTTAATCCGTTCATGGATTAACGTCGCTATCCGGAAACATGACTAAACGGAACTGAAAACCCCATAGGAACACATTAAACTCCGTTTAATGCGTTCCTATGGGGCGAAAACTCACCGGTAAGCGAAGATCCCCCATCCAGCCGCCATTTTCGCAATCTCGGTAAGCGAGGGCAGGGCGCGAAAACGGAGCAGGCGACTATTTTATTCTTCCGGCGGCCATTTTGGAACCGCCAGTCAGCTGTTTTTAGAACATCGCGTTTCGCTTACCGATAATCGCAATGCGATTTTTGGCCTATCTAAACATCGCAATGCGATCGCATTAGCGATCGCAAAAAACGCATCTCTGTGCGGATTCGTCATTAAACGGTGCGCTCATTAAGCGAGGCACCACTGTATTCATATATTCTTTTAATTATTTTATCACTTGTCCCTAGCAGTAGTTTATCAGATGTCATTTGTTTTTCATAAACCACTTTGTTTTATCTTTTACATAACTCAAGTCTAATTGTAATCTCGTCCACTAATCTAGAAAGACTGTGCTCCTCTAATTCCTCTCTAGGTTTGTTTGTTTGTTTTGTAGATGGCTTTTTGTAGGTAGCGATGAGGAGGAATGGGCTGTTGAGTTTTACCTTTTGTATTTTTCAGAGACTTCACAGATCGTACAAATAAAAGATATTCCTCAGTAAGTGTAACATATGAATAAGACATATATGTTTATTCCTTTTAGACATATAATTGTAATCCTGAGGTTCCTTATATTTTCTGTGTCATATTATGTAGTGCCAAGTTGGAATCAACTTAGAGCAATCCTAATAGAGCTTTCAAGATAAATGAGATATTTAAGGAGTGGTTTTACATTTCCACATCCCAGTGAGTTTCCATGGCTGAGTGGGGATTTAAACTCTGGCCTTCTGAGTCCCGGTATTTTCAGTAGTGTCCAAAAATATTAGAGAGAACTTTGTGAAGCAGAATGCAGTCTGTTATGTGAGGATTCTGTATCTAAACTTTATGTTGTGTGATACATCTGTCAATAATTGACTTTTTGATTATTGATGATGCTGTTTTGGCCTATATTTAATGTATTGCCCAGGTTTACTGCCTTATATATAGGCTATGGATTAGAACAAGTGGTGGGCCATCTTAGGGGGCCCAGTGACCAATTTCTTTCTGCAGCCACCCCCCTGGGCTGCACTGTCTGGGAATTGTAATATTTCGTAAGCCCTCTAAGGGAAAACTTGCCCTTGGAGACCTACAGGAGCAAGGAATGGACCATTTTTGGCAGGGTGGGCTTGACTGAAATCATGATCTAAATCTGTGGTCCCCAACCTTTTCCAAACTGCAGACTGGTTTAGCATGTGAGGGCGGCGTGCGTGCAGGTGACACCAGGGAACCAGGGGCACCCGTGCATGCGTGTGGGAAGGTGTGCATCTATGCATGCATGTGGGGGCCCTTCGTCTGCGTGGAGGGCATGCGGGGGGATTTGTCTCCGCAGCCTGGTTCTGTCATGGCCTGGTACCGGGCCGCGGACCCCAAATTTAAATAACTCCTGAGAAAGACTTAATTTAATAATGTGATTTTTAAAAAAAGAAAACATGAAAATACTACTTAGGCGGACGCTCTGCAGGCAGAAAAAGAGCTAATGTTGGAGCTCATGTTGTATTCTCCAGACAAGTTTTATTTATTTAGGGGTAAATTTTTATTGATTGATTGAACTATGTTTATTTTCTCTTCAGATTTTAAAAGCTCCCAGAACTCCTCTTCGAGATTTAGGGAGTGGAAATGAATTAATTCAGGTAAGCATTAAAGTTTTCTGTGCCAGTATTTTAGAAATGAGACCTTTTTCAATTTATTTCAGTGTCTGCAACCTCTTACAAGCTGAAACATTTATTATACTTGAGGGAATGACTTCTTCCCATATTTACATGGAAGAAATGCTGATTAAAATCAGTGGGGCAAGCTTGCGTGTAGGTGTTATTAGAATCACTTCACATTATGTCATGAATATTTGTGAAAGATATTTTCAATATTACTTTTGTATGTTCTGCCTCAGACAATGCATTTTTACTATTTAGTCAAATATGTCAGCAAGAGGTCATTTTTGTAATAGAATGCAAAGTTTTATGACTGCAAAAGAACAACTTATGAATTTGGCATTTGAACATTCACTTGGGAATTCATCAAATTGCTGGAGATGCAATATACAGCTAACATGCATCAAATGTACCCTGTTTCCCCCCCAAAAAAAGACATAACCTGAAAATAAGCCCTAGTATGATTTTTCAGAATGCTCATAATATAAGCCCTACCCCTCCCCCCAAAAATAAGCTCCAGTTAAGTGAAACCCTGCCCTCCACCATTGTGCAGCAACCAGAAGAAGATTACATGATTATATTTGAATGAATGTAGATTGTTGTACATGGAAAGAAAATCCCCTGAAAATAAGCCCTAATGAATTTTTGGAACAAAAATTAATATAAGACCCTGTCTAATTTTTGAGGAAACACAGTATAAATAACCTTTGTGCCATGTTTCAGCTAAATTAGGTACATATTGGTATAAAATCCTTACATAGTGGTGCATATTACACCTTTGAGTATACTTTCTGTGTTGCACATTTAGGAATGCATTGTTGAGAAACATCAGAAAAACTCTAGGCGTGTCAGTTTTGCTGATACCATAAGGTAAGTCGATTTCTTGAAATATCACCTTTATCTAATTTTGGATACAGAAGAGCATTGTGTTATTCTGCTGTATGAAGCAGAATCACACAGTCCATGGTAAGTCTTCAAGCAGCTAAGCGCTTCTTGGGTGTGGTTTTTCTTGCGGAGAGAAAAGAATCTACTTCTCCCTGTATTAAAAAAAAGCACTACTGAGACAGGGAGAAGCAGATTCTTTTCTCTCTGCAAGAGAAACCACAGCCAATAAGACTTTATTCATATCATATTCCATTCTAATTATATTACATGCAGCATTAGACCTGTCTTTTTTTTTTCTTCTGTGCCCATCTGCAACAAGACATCCCTTTCTTTAATTCCATTGTGACAGCACTATTTGTGATTGTCCTTTGCTGTTTCACAGTAGCTGATTCAATGTCCTCTGACTTGGGAGACTCATCATCCAGTAGCATCTGATAGAATCATAGAATAATTGAGTTGGAAGGGGCCTATAACCCCCTGCTCAATGCAGGAATACAGATCAAAGCAGATCTGATACATGGTTGTCCAATTTTCTCTTGAATGTGTTTGTGAGGGTTCAAATATGGCCTCTCCTGGTTTCGACATAGACACTGGAGTCTCTTGCTGTGCGAAATCAAAACTGGGCTTTATTGGAACATTAAACATCAAGTCCTTTGTCTCTAAGTCAACTCTAACATAGTCTCTCGCTGCCAACGGGTCCCACGAGGGCATCCAAACATCTTTGGTGAACGAGTTATATTCTAAATCGTTACAGGGTCCTTTGGTAAAAGGATTATTGCCATCCAAGTCCAAAGTGTCAGTCCCCGGTTCTAATAATGGTATGGTCTCCTCTTCTCTCCCCTCTGGATCGAAGGAGTCCTCATCTCCTCGTAAGGGAGCCCAAGGTCCGACAGAAACCCTCTCCGCCGGGCTTCCTCCAGTTTCCATGCTCGTCTCTCTTCTCTTTCCACAACTTCCTTCTCTTCTCTTAACCTCCGACGCCACTCATGCGCCTAGAGTGGTCGAATAAGAATTTCTTTGCTCTCATTGGCATTGGCTCTCAGTTCTCTTTTATTGATCAACCCATGATTCCTGAAGAAGATGGTTACATTTTAGTTTGGTGTCTGAACCTTGTTCCACTCTGTGTGACCCTACTAGGGAGTCCAGACTGGTCATGGAGTCCAACCTGATATTACTGCTCTCCCTAAAAGAAAATAAATCTTAGGTTTCTGGCTTTTTTCAGCAGTGGAGAGGAATAAATACAGATATAATCAAGTATATTCTTAGTCCACATTATTGTACAGTATTACTACATATAATGTAGCTACCTTTGTGTAGTATTAGTAGTTTTTTTCTACTAATATTAAAGCTACTACAGAACTAATGCTGTATCTTGACAACACAATAGTGAAATAATCTCTTAGATTATTATTTTTGTATACTGAATATTTGATAAATATTATTTTACTTCTGTTACATGTTTAAAAAAACCTTCAGATCCACAATAAACTTGAATCTGAAACATGCTGCTTGAATATGTTGGCAAAAATGACAGTGAAGAAGGAAAAAAAATGCAAAATAACACAACACTTTAAAGACTAACAGATCTGTTTCAGTGTGAACTTAGGTGGATCATACCTTTTTTCATCAGACACAAGGGGTGCAAATACATATCCCCTGTATTTATCCTCAGGGTGGTGAGAGTCAAATCCAGGTGCACACACGGATAATAGACAAAGTCACACCATCTCCAACTGAAATAAATGTTATTTTTTAAAAGTGCTCCAATATTTTGCTTTTCCACCATCTCCTTTATTTTTGGCAATATTCTAAGACAAACTAACCTAACCACTTCTTTAGCAAATGCTACTGTAATAGTATGTTGTGATATATATACAGAAGTGTCTAGACTTATGTAAAGGGACATGTAACAGGTTTTTTTCAGTAAGATTATTTGTTTTTGTTTTTAGGATCTTTCCACCAGATCCTCAAGCCACTGTGGAACTAAACCATGCAGGTGAGAACTTCAGTGTATGTACGTACGTGTGTATATATTAATAAATGTATTAATACAGGAATATAGGTATATACGACAAAACGTAATATACTATCTAATATATTGATATATTTGCTACTATTGCTGCAAATGCTTGTCATAACTCCGTTCTGTAACATTTATTTATTTTATTTGGTTTTAGGGACAACAGAAGAACCAAGACATCAAAACGTAATCACTAAGTAAGTTTGAAATTAAATTATTAAACAAAATGCTGATTTTGTAATAGTCCCAAACCTGTTTTCAGCTGTCTAATACTAGTAATATTGATTTCTCTGCATTCTTTCCTAAATTTATTTTAAAATGGTTTCCCACTCCCCCAAACAAATTATGTCTAGAGGCGCCCTTCACTTCTCTGTGCCATAAGATTTGTTTCTAAACTATGCATCCATACTGCTTCCTATACCAATATATGCCTCATTGCACTTAAAGCACTCTCTGCTTTACCAGTTAATTGTTCAGGCTATACATTGTTCTCCCTCCCACACCACCCTTGTGAGCTGGGTACTCAATTTACTGACCTTGGAAGAATGGAAGGTTGATTCAACCTCAAGCTGGCTACCTGGTCATGAGCAGAGTTTTGTACTGCAGTTTAATGGCATATTTGGCAGTGAACAGCCTTATATGAAAATTATATAATTCTGCAGCATGAAAAATGACTGGATTATTCTATTTTTTTCTCTCACATCACATTTTAAAATATCTCAGAAACTGCAGGAATTATCAGTTTCAATAATTTGAACATATCCACTGCTTAGGAAGCTTCAGTACATTCCTTTGGAGTTGAAATAATGGTTTCACTCATACGACTTTTCCAAATGTATTAAACATTCTAATAGTATTTATTCTTTAGTTGCTGTAATTTATAAATATACTGCCATACATTCAGCACTTAAATCTTCCTCTTAATGTTTTTTCCTTGTTATGTTGAAAGTATGGTTTTATATACAAACCATGGCCTTGTTTTATTTTTAGAAATGAAGAACTAGAGGTTGTCCCATGTGAAATCACTGGTAAGTATTAAACCAGTATTACTTGAATTGATTACTGTGCCCAAAATCTTTTAGGGAAAAAAAACGTATGGAATGTTCCCTCTACTTTTCATCCCCATTGGGTGTAGCTCCGCCCCTCACATGTGGGACTCCCCCCCCCCACGAAGTTCTGTCGTGACCAGAACCAAAGGGGCAGGAAATGCTCTCTTTGAGTGTGCGGAGGAGGAGGAAAGCTGGGGGGCAGAGTCATGCACACTCGCACAGCTGTGCACCTTAGAGGGAACCTTTCACATATGGAACAATAATCACACAGATGGCTCCTCCTTCTCCGGTATGGTGTCCTTGATGTAACTGATTATATATTGGTTATAAAATTTGGCTGCAGCTGATTTTGCAACAATGTGTGACAAACACAGTGTTCAACAAACACTCTGCCAAAGAGAGGAAACGGTGTGATTACTTTTGCATGTGCAAGTTTCTCCAAGAAGGTTCTGTATAATTTGTTTTGCTTGAAGAACAATTATTACTTGCGAATAGTAAGAAACACCAAGCAGGCAGCAGTGAATTTTCTAATGCTCAGGTCAGATTTTAACACAGAATTTGTACATTCAGAAGTTAAAAGAGTAATTCTCTTCTTAAGTAGGAGAAAATTTCTAAGTTTGGGATTTAAATCATATATAGGCTGTCTGTGGGATAAATAGCTCGGGAAAGGAGGCTGAAAGGAGAATGAAGAAGAGGTTGTGCATTAAAAGAAGACAATCTGTACACCAATAAAGAATGAAGCTTGAGGGGAAGGGAATAGATGTCTGAAGGAGGCAGGTGAGAGAGGGAAAGGGCCGTTTAGAAATTTTACTGAAAGAAACATTAGGAGGGCTGAATTGTAGCTGAGGTAAGGATAGGCTTTGGTCAAGGATAGAAGAGTTAAAAGAAATGTGGAATATAGGAGGCAACAATACCTGATGTGGCATGAATCCTCTTCAGCTCTGAGAAACTGCAACTAGGGGAAAAACTGTATGACCTCTGGAGGGAGAGTATAGACACAATTGTTAGAAATGAGGTATGAAAAATATTCAAGGAGCTTATGTGTGGTACATCTGCAGCCTGTCAGAAAAATTCTGTTAGTTGTAAATCTTACTATTCTTGCATTGGTGATCTAGAATCTTAAGCTATCAACAAAAGCCAATATTTGTTTGTTTGTTTCTTTCCCACCTTTTTCCTAAAAAGGACTCAAGGTGGGTTGATGAGTCTGAGTGTCATCTGTCAATTTGAATATGACCATCAGTCCTTTGGCTGCAGGTTTCTAGTTTCAGTTTGGCTTTTAAAGGTAGCATGCCATGTTGACCAGGAGCAGATATTTAACTTTTTTTTCCCCCTTCTGAAAAGGAATGAATACTTTACTTCATGCTCCCATCCAGACACCTTTGCAACAGATGGAGGTAAAAATGAGATTTTTCTTTCATTAACATAATCTAGATTATCAGTTTTTGAAGAATGTAATAAGATAAAGATATACTTCCTAAAACAGAATATTCAAGTTACTACATTTAACTTACACATATTGTCTAGAGCAGTGGTTCTTTTTTTTAAATGAACTACAATATATCTATATAAAATACAGTACAAACACCCCAAACCCTCCCCCCTTTGAGGACAGAGATTCAGACCTCATTGCATCCCAACTTTTCCAAATTCCAGAGAGCATTGAAAGCAAAAAGAAAAACAAAGCCCATCAATCATTTTGCCCTATCTCCAGATAAATATTATAACTGAAATTACTTGCCCATTTTATCATCGTCTCCTTTATCCTCTCGTCCTCCAGTTCATATTCCAATAAGTATGTATAAATTTTCTTTATTATTTTCTCATCGGTGTAGATCCACAGTTTATCTACCTGTACTTCACCTTCAAAAAAGCCCAAATTTCTATCTTTTCTATATCTTGATTCTAATTTATTCAATGACCACCAATCTGTTGCCACCCCTAGTTCCTCTAATTCTTGCTTACTTTCTATATTTTGTTCTGTGTTAAGTAATTCTTTGTAGGTTAACAACATCCCTTTCTGCTTCAACACTTTCATCATAAAGGCTTCTATAGGGACTACCCATAATGGAATTTTCTTGTGTGTTTGTGCTTGAAATTCCACACTAGACCCAATGCTTTCCTTACAATATGTTCCATAAAGTGTGATTGTTCCTTATATTTCCCATACCACACATATGCATGTCAGCCCATGCTTAAGTCATGATCTTCTAGTTTCAGTAATCTTTGGTTTACCAGAGTTATCCATTCTTTTATCCATGTCATAGCACACGCCTTAGAATATAATAACCAGTTTGGTAGTCCTACACCTCCCCTTTCTTTCAAGTCCTGTAATAGCTTAAATTTTATTCTTGGTTTCTTAGTCTTCCATATAAATTTGGTTGTCAGGTGATCCAATTCTTTAAAATATTTAAAATTTAATAATATTGGTAGATTTTGAAAGAGAAATAAAATTTTAGGCAAGATCATCATTTTTATCGTTGTAGTTCTTCCCATCAATGATAGTTGTAGCTTACTCCAGTCTTCCAGGTTCTTCTGAATTTCCTTCTGTATTCTGAGATAGTTCTCTTTCATTAAGTTGCTGGGTTTTTTGGTGATGACTTCTAAATATTTGATTTTTTTGTACTACTTCAAAATTAATTTCCCTCAACAGTTTTCCAATTTCTTCTTTCTTTATGTTTTTAATCATAACTTTTGTTTTTTGATAATTAATTTGGAGACCTGCCACTTGTCCATAATCTTCTATGATTCTCAATACTTCCTCTAGGTCTCCCTGAGGATTCTCAAGTACAGTGGTGCCTCGAATAGCGAGTTCCTCTATTAACGAAAAAACCAAATAACGATGTGGTTTTTGGGGCATTTTTAAGACTTGATTAGCGATTTTTCCTATGGCGATTTTTGAATAGCGATCTTCGGGACCGCGCTTCGAATAGCAAGTTTTTTAGGTCCCCTGTTTTCGATTAGCGATTTTTAAAACAGCCGCGAGAGCGTAATTTTAAAATGGTTTAAAGTTAAGGTTTAAGGTTTGAAATGTTTGGAATCGTAAAGTGCACTTAATAAAACCTTTGTTACCTAATTTGACTGTGTTCTGACTCTTAATTTGTTGTGGAATTTTTTTCCCCCATTGAGATGCGTTGAATAGGTTTCATTGCATTTCAATGGGGGAACCGCGCTTTGAATAGCGAGGTTTCCTATGGAGATTTTTGAATAGCAACTTGTTCCAATTGGAACGGATTAGCCTGCTTTCAATGCATTTCAATGGGAAATCGCATTTTGAAGGGGCTGCGGAAGACGGCTAGGGCTGCCACCCCATGCGGCCCAAACCAAATGTATGTGTGGCCCAAATCAAATTTTCATCTTCTCATGTGGCCCAGGGAAGGTGAAAGGTTGGATACCCCTGGTTTAGGGTTTGAAATGTTTCAGATCGTAAAGTGCACTGAATAAACCCTTTGTTAACCCAATTTGACCTTGTTCTGACTCTTTGTTAATTTGTTGTGGAATTTTTTCCCTCCTTGAGATGCATTGAATAGGTTTCAATGCATTTCAATGGGGGAACGGTGTTTTGAATAGCGAGGTTTCCTACGGATATTTTCTATTAGCAACAGCAATTTGTTCCTATGGGAACGGATTAGCCGGCTTTCAATGCATTTCAATGGGAAACCGCGTTTTGAATAGCGAAGAAATCCGATACAGTGGGGTCTTGACTTGAGAACTTAATCCGTATTGGAAGGCGGTTCTCAAGTCAAAAAGTCTGTAAGTCAAGTCTCCATTGACCTACAGTGCATTGAAAACCGATTAATCCCGTAACAGGCCGTTTTTGTTCCCTTTTGGTTTTTTTCTGGTCTGTAAGTCAAATCTCAGTCTGTAAGTCAAACCTAAATTTTGCGGCCAGAGAAGTCTGTAGCTCAAAAAGTCTATAAGTCAAGCCGTCTGTAAGTCAAGGGTCCACTGTAGCGATTTTTTTTGCGGAACGGATTAACATTGCTATTGGAGGCACCACCGTATTATTACCAGATCATCTGCATAAGCTTGTACCTTAAATTCTTCGCCTCTAATTTTTAGTCCTTTAACTCTTTCACTAGCTCTTATCTGCCTATTTGGGATTTCCAGTGTTAATATAAATAAAAGGGGATAACGGACAACCCTGTCTTGTGCCTTGTTCAGTTGATATACTCTCCGTTAAATTCCCATTGACCTTAATCTTGGCTTCTTGCTTAGAGTATATTGCTTTGATTATTTATAGAAATTTTCCTTCCACTCCCATTTTCTTTAGTTGTAACATCATAAACTCCCAGTTGACATTATCGAAGGCTTTCTCTGCGTCTAGAAAAATTAGCATCATCTGCTTTCCTGGATGTAGTTCATAATATTTTAAAATGTCTATTATTGTCCTTATGTTTAATGACAATTTCCTTTTGGGGAGGAAACCTGTTTGGTCTTTATGTATTATTTCTCCCAATATTTCCTTTAATCTTGAGGCCCAGATGGTTGTAAAGATCTTGTTATCAACATTTAGTAGAGAGATTGGTCTGAATTCTTGATTTTGTTCTTTACGGTCCCCTCTTTATGTATTAATGAGATGTGTGCCTCTTTCCATGTATTTGGTATTACCCCCTTGGACTCAATATCTTCGGTTAACTTCTTACATTGAAGACTTAACATTTCTTCAAACGCCTTATAATATTCAGCTGGTAATCCATCTGGTCCAGGGGATTTCCCACTTTTCTG